GATGTGGTGGATTATATTAATTAATTTTCAAATATTTAACCAGCCAAGTATTTCAATACTTGGGATAAATCTCACTACATTGTTGGACTTGATTTACATTTTGTTGAGGATTGTTGCACCTATATTCATGAAAGATATTGGTCTGTAGTTTTCTTTGAATATCTTTACATGGTTATGGTATTAGGGTAATGCTCATGTTGTAGGAGTTAGTATTTCCTCTGATTCTAACTTCTGGGAGAGATTGTGGAAAATTGGTATTATTTCTTCCTTAAAATATTTGGTAGAATTCATCAGTGAACTCATCTGGGCCTGGTGCTTTCTGTTTTGAAAGGTTATTATTAATTTAATTTCTTTGTATACTACAAAGACACAGATGGGGTGAAGGAATATTTGCCAAGCAAATGGAAAGCAAAACAAAAAGCAGGGGTTGCAATCCGGGTCTCTGATAAAACAGACTTTAAATCAACAAAGATATAAAAAGACAAAGAAGGGCATTACTTAATGGTAAAGGGATCAATGCAAAAAGAAGAGCTAATTATCGTAAATATGTATGCATCCAACAGAGGAGCACCTAGATTCATAAAACAAGTTCTTAGAGACCTACAAAGAGATCTAGACTCCCACACAATAATAGTGGGAGACTTCAACACCTTACTGTCAATATTAGATAGATAAATGAGACAGAAAATTAACAAGGATATTCAGAACTTGAACTAAGCTCTGGACCAAGTGGACCTAATAGACATCTGCAGAACTCTCCACCCCAAATCAACATAATATACATTCTTCTCAAGCACCACATCACACTTATTCCAAAATTGACCACATAATTGGAAGTAAAACACTCCTCAGCAAATGCAAAAGCACAGAAATCATAACAGTCTTTCAGACCACAGTGGAATCAGATTAGAACTCAGGAAAGAAACTCACTCAAAACCACACAGCTACATGGAAACTGAACAACCTGCTCCTGAATGACTACTGGGTAAATGAATAAATGAAGGCAGAAATACAGATGTTCTTTGAAACCAATGAGAACAAAGACACAATGTTCTAAAATCTTTGGGACACAGCTAAAGCAGTGTTTAGAGGGAAATTCCCAAAGAAGAAAGCAGGAAAGATCTAAAATCAACACCCTAATATCACAATTAAAAAAACTGGAGAAGCAAGACCAAACAAATTCAAAAGCTAGTAGAAGACAAGAAATAACTAAGATTAGAGCAGAACTGAAGGAGATAGAAACATGAAAAACCATTCAAAAAAACCAATGAATCCAGGAGCTGTTAAGATTAACAAAATAGACTGCTAGCCTGACTAATAAAAAAGAGAAAAGAGAACGATCAACTAGACACAATAAAAAATCATAAAGGGGATATCACTGCTGATCCCACAGAAATACAAACTACCATCAGAGAATACTATTAACACCTCTATGCAAATTAGAAAATCTAGAAGAAACGAATACATTCATGGACACATCCACCCTCCCAAAACTAAACCAGGCAGAAATGGACTCCCTGAATAGTCCAATAACAAGTTCCGAAATTGAGGCAGTAAGTAATAGTCTACCAACCAAGAAAAGCCCAGGACCAAACGGATTCACAGCCAAATTCTATCAGAGTTACAAAGAGGAGCTGGTATCATGCTGCTGAAACAAACAGGACTCCTCCCTAAATCATTTTATGAGGCCAGCATCATGCTGATACCAAAATCAAGCAATGACACAACAGTAAAAGAAAATTTCAGGCCAATATTCCTGATGAATATCGATGTGAAAACCCTCAATAAAATACTGGCAAACTGAATCCAGCAGCACATTAAAAAGCTTATCTGTCATGATCAAGTTGGCTTCATTCCTGGGATTCAAGGCTGGTTCAACATATGCAAATCAATAAATGTAATTCATCACATAAACAGAACTAATGACAAAAACCACATGATTATCTCAATAGACGCAGAAAAGGCCTTTGATAAAATTCAACACCCCTTCATGCTAAAAACTCTCAATAAGATAGGTATTGATGGAATGGAACTCAAAATACTAAGAGCTATTTATGACAAACCCATAGCCAATATCATGCAGAATGGGCAAAAGATGGAAGCACTCCCTCTGAAAATCAGCACAAGGATGCCCTCTCTCACCACTCCTATACAAAATAGTGTTGGAAGTTCTGGGCAGGGCAATCAGGCAAGAGAAAGAAATAAAGCATATTCAAATAGGAAGACAGGAAGTCAAATCATCTCTGTTTGTAGATGACATTATTGTATATTTAGAAAACTCCCTCATCGCAGCCCCCAAACTCCTTAAGCTGATAAGCAACTTCAGTGGAGCCTCAGAATACAAAGTCAATGTGTCAAAATCACAAGCATTCCTTAACACCAAAAATAGATAAGCAGAGAGCCAAGTCATGAATGAACTACCATTCACAATTGCTATAAAGAGAATAAAATACCTAGGAATACAACTTACAAGTGATGTGGAGGACCTCTTCAAGGAGAATTACAAACCACTGCTCAAGGAAAAAAAAAAAAAGGAAAAACATTCCATCCTCATGGATAGAAATAATCAATATTGTGAAAATGGCTATACTGCCCGAAGTAATTTATAGGTTCAATGCTGTTCACATCAAACCACCATTGACATTCTTCAAAGAATTAGAAAAAAAAGAAAACCACTTTAAGTGCCATATGGAACCAAAGAAGAGCCCATATAGCCAAGATAGTCTTAAACAAAACCAACAAAGCTGGAAGCATCATATTACCTGACTTCAAACTATACTATAAGGCTACAGTAACCAAAACAGCATGATACTGGTACCAAAACAGACATATAGACCAATGGAACAGAACAGAGACTTCAGAAATAACACCACACATCTGGAACTATATGATCTTTGACAAACCTGACAAAAACAAGCAATGGGGAAAGGATTCCCTATTTAATAAATGGTGCTGGAAAAACCGGCTAGCCATATACAGAAAACTCAAACTGGACCCCTTCCTTATACTATATACCAAAATTAACTCTAGATGGATTAAAGACTTGTAAAACCCAAGACTATAAAAACCCTAGAAGAAAACTTAGGTAATATGATTCAGGATATAGGCGTGGGCAGAGACTTCATGATGAAAACACCAAAGCAATTGCAACAAAAGCCAAAATCGACAAATGGGATCTAATTAACCTAAAGAGCTTCTGCACAGCAAAAGAAACAATCATCAGAGTAAACAGGCAGCCTACAGAATGGGAGAAAATTTTTGCAATCTACACATCTGACAAAGGACTAATATCCAGATTCTACAAGTAACTGAAACAAATTTACAAGAAAAAAACAACTCCATCAGAAAGTGGGCAAAGGATATGAATAGACTCTTCTCAAAAGAAGACATTTATGCACCCAAAAAAACATATGAAAAAAAGCTCAACATCACTGATCATTAGAGAAATGCAAATCAAAATTACAATGAGATACCGTTTCACATCAGTCAGAATGGCAATTATTAATAAGTCAAGAAATGATAGATGCTGTTGAGGCAGTGGAGAAATAGAAAAGCTTTTAGGGAACATAAACTAGTTCGACCATTGTGGAAGACAGTGTGGTGATTCCTCAAGGATCTAGAACCAGAAATACCATTTGATCCAGCAATCCTATTACTGGGTATATACCCACAGTAATATAAATCATTCTACTATAAAGACACATGCATATATATGCTTATTGATGCACTATTTACAGTAGCAAAGACTTGGAACCAACCCAAATGCTAATCAGTGATAGACTGGATAAGAAAATGTGGTACATATACACAATGGAAAACTGTGCAGCCATAAAAAGGAATGAGTTCGTGTCCTTTGCAGGGTCATAAATGAAGCTGGAAGCCATTATCCTCAGCAAACTGACACAGGAACAGAAAACCAAACACCACATGTTCTGAGAAGTGGGAGTTGAACAATGAGAACATATGGACACAGGGAGGGGAACAACACACTGGTGCCAGTTGGGGGTTTGGGGGTGAAGGGAGGGAGAGCATTAGGACAAATAGCTAATGCATGCAAGGCTTAAAACCTAGATGATAGGTTGATAGGTGCAGCAAATACCATGGCACACGTATACCTATGTAACAAACCTACACGTTCTGTACTTGTATCCCAGAACTTAAAGTAAAATAAAACAAAAAGTGATATAAATTACTAGGCAAATACTGTCTATTTCATCTAATGAAGAAAGCAACTGAAAAATATCATGTATCTGATGTGCTACACAAAATGTCTAGGTTCTCACATTATTTATTACTGAAAGAAACCTTGGAGATGATAGTTTCTAACTCTTTATTTGACAGATGAGGAAAACTGAGACTTGGGGAGTTTTAGTGACTTGCCTTGAGACTAGAATCCAAGCCTGTAATTCCTATTACAGTCCTCTTTTCATTAAATCATATTTCCTTTCCTAAGGCAGAGTAAATTCTGTGTGGCTTTCAAGTTTACTTTTGGTGATGGCACTATACCTGCTTTTCTTCTTTTAATTTTTTTTGACCCCAGTGACTAGAACTGGATCAATCGTAATCCTTGGTTCATGACATACTCTTATTATTGGTCCATGCATAACCTATTTATTTACTTGCATTTAATAATGTAATACATAAAAATTTCAAGCATTCATATTAGGTGGAGAACGTGGAAGGAAAATGAAAATGTAGAATTTCCATATATGCGTGGTACAAAAATATACTCATATATTTGGAAATTATTTTAGTGCTACAGCTGTTTGTTTTTCTCCCTTGGGTTGAAAATTATCTTCTGGATGGGCAGTTTGGCAACTCTCCTCCTCATCACATTGAAATCACCAAACTTGAGTAGCACTTAGAAAACAAAGTAAGACAGAAAGAAATGGGAAAAGAACCAGGAAAATGTGCTTTACATTTAGTATTGTGACATATATGTCTTTAAAATTTGTTAGTCTTCTGAAAATTGTGTAATGTTGGGTTTGTTTATGATGCAGGTCTGAGAACCATTGGAGTTATCACCAAACTGGACCTTATGGATGAAGGAACGGATGCCAGGGATGTGCTAGAGAACAAACTGTTGCCTCTTCGCAGGGGTAATGTACTGTGGTCTATACAAGACTGTTTTTTTCTTTTTCTTTTCTTTTCTTTTTTTTTTTTTTTTCCTTTGGTGCTATGACAGAGAAATGATTGGGAAGCCACTAGAAGGTTTAGTTTTAATGCCTTCTTAGTTGTAAGATGGATATATTATTATACTTTTTATAGAATGGCTGTATGTTCCCAAATGTTGTATTAGAAAATAATCCAAAGGGAGAACTATTCCTTAAAATAACAGGAATAAGAAAACAGGAAAAGGAAGAGATTTGAAGGGAGGTTATAAATATCCAACATAGACTGCATAAACTTATACTACTGTAAGTCTGATATTTACTTGCCTGCTATATGAAAAAACTGCTAAGATATATACTCTTAAAATGCACACAGCTTTTTAAGGGTGAGAGACATTATTGTATTGATGATAAAAAATTCTCGTGAGCTCAGTCAGTGGCCTGAGTACTATGTTCAGTACTGATAATTCCCATTGAATTTTATAAAGGGATCCAGTCTTCAGGCCTAAAACTAGTTTTGCTTTTCTTAGTCTGCCTGTGTGAGAGCCTTGAACTCTCCCTAGAATAAGCAACAAAAAGTGTCCCCAACTCCATAGGTTTGTGTTTTGTTTCAGGTTACGTGGGGGTGGTAAACAGAAGCCAGAAGGACATAGATGGGAAGAAGGACATAAAGGCAGCCATGTTGGCAGAGAGAAAGTTTTTCCTTTCCCACCCGGCTTATAGACATATTGCTGACCGAATGGGGACCCCACACCTGCAGAAGGTTCTTAATCAGGTAAAAATGTTCTTTCAAACAACAAGAACAATTATGAAATATGTAAGTGGCTGCTGGATTTCATCTATATTATTTTTAAGTTTTTTTTTCCAACATAAGACATGCAGCTTCAATGATAGAGATTTTAAAAATGAATATTAGTACCTCAAATCCACACTACTACCATTCTCAGTGAATAGAACTCACCTTCCTATTATTGAAAGAACAATGCTTAAAGCAGAAACACATACCTGTTTAGGAACAGTGAACAGGGATATACATTTTAGCATATATTCATTTGTAATATGTAGTTATCTTGAGAAGATAAATTTGTATAGCTTTGAAAAGTTGATCTCTTGAGATCTGTTTTTGAAGCACCAGTCTGTAATGGCTAGATTATACTTTCTGTTAAAATTTTTTTTTTTCCCTTTATTTATTTTATTGCATTTTAGGTTTTGGGGTACATGTGAAGAACATGCAAAATTGTTCCATAGGAACACACGTGGCAGTGTGATTTGCTGCCTTCCTCCCCATCACCTACATCTGGCATTTCTCCCCCTGCTATC